CCCAGCGGCGGGAGCCACTCCACCAAATCACAACGGATGCCTCCCTAGTAGGCTGGGGGGCTTACATGGGCTCCCTCTCAGTCCAAGGCCAATAGTCCCCACAAGAAGTATGGCTACACATAAACCTTCTAGAGCTATGCGCCATTTTCAACGCATGAAAATACTTCCTCATCTACATTCGAAACACCACGGTGAGGATACTCACGGACAACATCACAGCCATGATGTGAATCGCCAAGGCAGCGCTTGCTCCCGTTCCCTATGCATGGAAGCCATCTGCTTTTGGAACTGGTGCATTCGCCACGGAATGACACCTACGGCATCCTACTTACCTGGCGCCACAAACGTGACTGTAGATTTCCTGAGCAGACACTTCCATGTGAAGCACGAATGGGAAATGCATGATGGCATCCTACACAAGATCTTCCAACGTTGGGGTACTCCCCGAGTGGACCTCTTTGCAACTCCCGCAAATACAAAATGCCGCAAGTACTGCACCAGGGCGGGTTTAGGCCGCGCATCCCTGGGAGACGCCGTCCTTACGACTTGGCGCAGACCCCTCCTCTATGCATTCCCCCCCATACCTCTGATCCCCAAAGTCCTTTAGAAGCTGAAGGCGGACAGGGCAACACTAATCCTCATAGCCCCGGGCTGGCCTCACCAGCACTGGTTTCCCTTCCTCCACTGTCTCTCCGCGCGGACACTGATCTGCCTTTCGCCTCTCCACAATCTCCTCACACAAGACCGAGGACACCTGAAACACCCCCAGATACAAATGCTGAACCTAACAGCATGGTTCCTAACTGGCTGACTCCATTCGAATCCCTCTCCTCCGTTCCAGTCCAGCATGTCCTACTACACAGTAGACGACAAACCACGAGAAAAACTTACCTTCACAAGTGGCGCAGATTCTCCACCCGGTGTACCTCAAACCACCACGATCCGACACGTCTGTTGATCCCCTCCGTCCTGGACTAAGCGTTGCACCTAAAGAACAAAGGCCTCGCGTTAGCCTCCATCAGGGTGCACCTCGCAGCAATTTCAGCATTCACATCACCGATAGATGGCGTTTCTGTCTTCACCCATCCTACTGCTAAGAGATTTCTCAAGGGTCTTACCAATATGGCCCCACCGCACGACCCAGTCCCACTGGTGTGGAGCCTGGATGTAGTCCTCGACGCCCTAATGAGGCCACCGTTCGAGCCTCTGGCGACTGTATCCTTGCATTTCCTCACTTTGAAAACCGTTTTCCTGCTGGCCATAACGTCGGCATGCAGAGTGAGCGAGCTTTCCGCCATGATGGCCACACCACCATATAAAATTTTTCGTAAGGATGGAGTAGTCTTGAGACTACACCCAAGATTCATACCCAAAATTGTCTCACATTTCCATGTCAACGAACCAGTGATCTTGCCAACCTTTTTCCCAAAGCCCCGTGCCTCACCACGAGAAGCGGCCCTACATTCCTTGGACACCTGCAGGGCCTTAGCATTCTACATAGATCGCACTAAGTCTTTCAGGCATATGGACCACTTATTCGTCTCCTTGGCACAGAGGTCAAAGGGTCAACGCCTATCTTCCCAAAGGATTTCCAATCTCGTAACCTCATGCATAATGCAATCGTACGCAGTGAAAGGCTTACCCCTTCCATCCCAACCATGCGCACACTCCACTAGAGCCATGGCCGCATCTACAGCGTTTCATAGAGGGGTATCTCTGAAGGACATCTGCAGGACGGCGACCTGGTCACATGAGACTTTCGTCAAACACTATTCTATTTCTCTAATCACTTGTTCAGATGGGGCAGTGGCGACTGCAGTGCTCTACACAGCGGATAAATAGGGACTCCTTGCCCTCCTTCCATTCTGGCAACTACTGCTACATAGTCACCCATAGTGGAGCACCCGCAGGGACATCGCTGAAGAAGAAAGCGAAGTTACTCACCTTCGGTGCAGTAACTGTTGTTCTTCGAGGTGGTGTCCCCACGGGTGCTCCACTACCCGTCCTCCTCCCTGCTTCGGAGTCCTCTCTCTTTCTGCTCTTGTCTCTTACAGACTCCGAGGCGGTCTCGAGGAATTGGCGGGGGGCCGGACCGTGCGAGACAGAAAACAGCGCGAAAGCCGCAAGCCCGCAGCACATGCACGGTCTGTCCAAACATTGCTCATCACAAGCTTCCGTCTGCGGCACCGGGGCAAGTCCAGCACCCATAGTGGAGCACCTGCGGGGACACCACCTTGAAGAACGACAGTTACTGCACCTAAGGTGAGTAACTTCACTTTTTACAAATTGCTTCAGTGTTGGTGTGAATAAACTTTAACGCCATTTGGCTGAGTTTCAAGTAAACTTGATTAACTACCTGTTGTATTAAAAATAAAAACACCTGCTTTTTCTCCTCCCAAAAGAAGAAAAACCTTTAATAACCTATCAAATTTTAATTGCTTTGGATTGTTTTTACCAAATGACAAATATAATGTAGTTATTGTAGTTTGTAAGGAAGGGAATTAAACTTACAAAAAGCTGATTTGTTAAAAAGTGATTGTAATGTGTGTTGTACTTAAAAGAAGTACTCGGGATCTTTTTCAGGGGGATAAGGCAACATGCCACATTTATTGATCACACATAGAATAATCAACACTTATCATATGCATATTATATATATATATATGTCACTCATGCACTCACACACACAAGCACACTCCGTCTTGCTGTTGTTACCAACCCCTTAACTTCACTGGCCAGGTGAGTTAGATGGGGGAGGGGTGGAGGCGGGCTTCTGCCAATCCAGATCGATGCTCCGATGGTGACAAGACGAAACCCGGGGTCCTCTGCAAGACACCTCACTTTTATAGCATCCCTCTCATATGCAAATATATCCCAGATTCAAACTCTGGGTCTGTGTCCGTTGGTCCCTTTGTGCTGCAGAGAGGGTGTTTTCCAAAGAAGGTGCCTGCTTCTAATCCCCAAGGCCATCAATATGTCTGCTCTTCTTTCTTCAGCCCACTTGAAACCTTGGGTCTGGCTTCCACCCCCTCTTCAACTGGTGTAGCTGTCTGGAGGTGCTTGGCTCCCAAGTCTTACTCATTCACACCTCATTCATTCAACAGGGCAATTGATTACAGAGTGGGGGAAAGAGAGTGGGGGGGAAATCTTATTCTACTCCTAGCAAAAGACATTTTTACCACTTTAACTATATACTCAGTTTTCTACAAGTTTTCTATATAGGGTTCTAATACAAAGTTACAAGGTTATATGGATTCAGGTTCTAATGCAAAGTTACAAGGTTATATGGATTAATACAAAGCTACAAGGTTATATGGAGAGGCACAATGTCAAGTCATATGAAGTAATATATATATAATACATAGATTTATCTACATGTGTACAGAGAAGGTTGTAGCTTTACAATAAAAACCTGAATTAAAAGCAAACAACTCATTCACCTTGCTAATAGGCTTGATGCTTTATTTTTAGGTGGACGTCAGACTCAGAATCAAAGAAATGGAATAAATATACCTGTGGAGAAACGTACAGAGAATGGGGTATGTAACAAATGATACATACAGTGTGTTTATGTGCTCATTGCCATTATTTTAAAAGTTAGTACCATGTGTAAAATTCATCTCTTATTGCTGGGAACCAAAAGAAGCTACTGAAGTTTCAGATTCAATATGGTATATTTGAAGGGGAATGAGAGAGTACAGTTTAACTCTTAGAATATAGAGAGTAGTTTGTCCTCCAGAAAATGTAATATTCTCTACAACCCCACAAAAGCAGCCTACAATGTCCAGCTGATGCTGATTTTGTCCTTTTGGTTTCCTGCTTCTCCTATCGCTGCCTGTTCCCCGAGCGCTCGCTCAACGCATGGGGCTCTCCACCCCTCGAACTCCCCTGCGCCTACTCCAGGAGGTGAAGGCGACTTTGTCGCAGCCCGCTCGCGATCTCCTACAGAGAGCCCTGCGAGAGGGAACGCTCCGCCCCTCCCCTCCTGCAAAGCCTCCGTCCCTCTTTATTGGGCCCCTGTCCCGCGGGCCCCCCCGGCCTCCCCACCCTTGGACCCCCAGCCGGCTGCAAAATCTGCAGCCGGTCTGTTTCCGGACCGCGCCCAGGGAACAGCTGTACACGCTCGTGCTCCACGCTTTGCATTTCCCCACCCTCGTGTCCCGCCCCGATACAAAGTGGCGGGACTACCTCAGACCTATAGAGGGTGGGGAACCCCGATGGGCCAGCGTTTATTCGACCTTAATTCCGCGGCCCGTCGGGGACATCAGTTGGCGGCTCCTTCACGGGGCCGTGAGCACGGGCGTGTACTTGGCGCGGTTCACCCCTATCCCAGACACCTGCCCCTTTTGCGGCATGAGGGAGAACCTGGCGCACGCCTACCTCGAATGCGCCAGGTTGCAGCCCCTATTCCGGCTCCTCCAGAACCTCTTATTGAGGTTCTGGCTGCACTTTTCCCCTCACCTTTTTATTTATGCACACCCAATCCGTGGCCCCACAAAGTCGCGAGACCTCCTCGTCAACCTCCTCCTGGCCTTGGCGAAAGTTGCCATCTACAACAGCAGGAGGAGGATGCTAGACGAGGGGGTTCTCTGCGACTGTGGGGCCTATTTCCGCTCCTCCCTCGTGTCACGAATCCGGGCAGAGTTCCGCTGGGCGGCGTCCACTGGCTCCATCGACAGCTTTGAGGAGCAGTGGGCGCTGTCCGGGGTTCTCTGCTCGGTGTCCCCATCCGGCTCCCTCATTTTGAACCTCTAGCCCGCACTTCTTGATCCTTTAGTCATTATTTGTCCCAAGCAATCAATTGAACATGGGTCCAGTGTCCCTCCCATAAGGTTGGGGAGGGGCTTTTAGAAGGTGGGCGGGCGGAGCCCGCCCACCATCCCATGATTTCAAATAGGTCCTATCGCTGCCTGTTTGACAAAGAGCCCCAGATTGCTATGAGATGGTGTTCCTCAACATCACCTATCCAAACATCTGTTCTTACATGAGCTGTTTCTCTACGGCTGGTTCCTGATTTAGCACTCATGTAGAGGCCTGTCAAAATTGAAGCATATATCTGTGGATTAGGTGGCTTTTTAGATGGTGACATAGACTGAGTATCTCTCCCAGTTTAGAGTTTTGAAATGCCATGCTTCACAGCCAATTCTATATCCACTTACATCTCTTTAATCTGGCAACCCTGGGAAACAAGATATGATGGATTAAAGATTTTGCCAAGACAGAGAGGGTGCTATGGGGTCTGGGCATGAGAGGGATGAAAGTGTGATTCTGCATCCCCTGTTGCTCCCAGGAAATGCTTCCGACAGCTATTGGCATGACAGGGAAAAGCCAAAGGTGAAGCACATCGATGCACTGCCACTCCCCCAGGGAGTAGATGTGGCAGCATGCAGAACCGCTTTCTCCTTGGAGTTGGAGGTTCAATGTATATAGTTTTATCCTTGTAACAGCTGGTTGTTTTTCTTTGTTTGTTTTATGTCTGTTTTTAGCTTAGTAAAATTTCAAATTATGTTTCTATTTTGAAATCTCTCTCATACATAACTAGCAGTGTTTTGTTGTGTTTCAGTTATTCCCAAATTTAAACTTCTTCTTTACAAGTAAAAATAAGGCTTTCCTAACTGCTAGGCCTATAAACCTCAAACCTAGGGACCTGAAATCACTGGTACGTAGAACTGGAAGGTACCTTCTGGATCATCAAGCCTATCCTATATTGCCATGGGCAACCCGGGTCATATAATCCAATTCACAAATTTTTCAAGATCTGTCAGATGTGTTAGGTTGTTCACCTCCATTACTGTGATCGGCTGGTTGGTTGAGAACCTCAGTCTGCTGATTATTAGAAAAATTCTTCTAATTTCCTACCTTAATTTATTCATATCCAGTTTTATACCCGTTTGTTCTGTATCAACGTCGTCCTTTTGCTTAAAAAGCTCTTCTGCTGCTCTGGTGTTTATTTCCTAAGTCCTGATGTATTTATATAGAGTAGTTAGATACCCTCTTAGCCTTTGATCTTGGCTTAGACTAAACAAGCCAAGATCTTTTAGTCTCCTCTGATAAGACAGGCTCTCCATGCCCTTAATTCTTCTCCTGACCCATCTCTGCACTTATTCTAGTTTCATGTTAAAAAAAGTTGAATACAGTGACCATGATTGTACACAGTATAATGGATCTTAATAATGCCTTATAAAATGGCATTAATACTTCCCTGTACTTTACTGGAAATACCTCATGAGATATAGCCTAGGTTTTCATTTACATTTTTTACAGCCTCATTACATTGATGCCTCAGTGTCCTCCTGGAAGTGACTGATACAGTGAGGTCCTTCTACTCCTTTGTAATTTCTGACTGATCAGCCCTCGTCTTTTATAGAAGAAATTCTTACTAATAATTCATAATGGTGTGACCTTGCTGGCTTCCTTACCTTATGTATCTTCTACAACAGAGGTTGGCAACCTTTTCAAACCAAAGAGCCAAACTTCATCAAAATTCAGAACAAGTGGTCAACAAAGAGCTGTCCATATACGAATGCCCATTTGCATGACTGAAAATATACAACTTAATATTATTAATAATTGACATAATTATTAATAATAGCATAAATGAAACATCGTAATCACAGACTTAATTTAATGGGATTTCTGCTGCTGCATCTTTTCACACACTTCTTTGAAGTTTGTATCACAGCTAGTCAAATCCATCTTCATGCATACATTCAGGTTGTCTTCTATCAATATTATGGCAGGGGGCTGGGGATGTGGAGGTGCAGGAGTTTGGGAATGTGGGGATATGAGGGACTCAGGGCAGGGGGCTCAGGTGTATGATGGGCTCAGGGTTGGGGTGTATGTGAGGTGCAGAAGTGTTATGGTAGGGGACTAGGGATGTGGGGATGCAGGATAAGGATGATATATTTAGATTAATCAACTAATCAAGTGTAATGTCCATCGACTACTCACTTAGTCAATAAGGAGGGGCGCTCGCTATCCTGCTGTGCCACTGCATTTGAAATGTACAAGAGCCACCTGCTTGTGTGGTTCTTGACTGCTGCGGCAGTCCTCATGTATGGCAGGAGCAGGGAATCTTTTTTGGGTTGGGGGCCAGTGACCCACAGAAAAATCAGTCGGGGACCACACAAAAAAACCCAAACCCCTCCAAAACCCAACTGAAGCACCTCACTCCCCTGATGCTCCAGCCTTGTAGTGGGGGAAGGGGCAGGGAAGACTGAGGTTTACGACCTCAGGCCAGATTAACTCTTCTGGGGTTCCAGAGTTAGTGGATTTTGTGGACCGCTCTGGGGTGAGGCCAGAAATGAGGGGTCAAGTGTGCGGGACAGGTGCTAGTGAATGGGATAGGAATGGGAGTGCGAGGTCTGGGTGAGAGATAGGGTGCAGGAGAAGGTTGGGAGTAGGGTATCTGGCTGGGGAGAGGTGGAGGAGGAAATGAGGGTGCAGGAGCAGGCTGGGGGCAGGATGTCTGGCCAGGGGAAGGGAGCAGGAGCAGGAGCAGGCTGGAGTAGGGTGCTTGGCTAGGGGGAGGGGGCAGGAGGAAGGGATGGGACAGGAGCAAGCTGGGGGCAGGGTGTCTGGCCGGGGAGGAGGCGGCAGGAGTGGTCTGGGGCAGGGTGTCTGACCAGGGGGTAGGAGCCAGGATCTCGGTTGGGGGGGGCTTGAGGGCGGTTGGGACTGTGGGGTCTCAGCAGGGGAGGGCTGAGTGAGGGGATTGGGGTGTGAGGTCTGGGCATGAGAGGGTGGGAGAGACCTATACTTGCTTTCGCGCCACTGGGGCTCCCAAGCTTGGCCTCCCACTACTCCCATTCACTGGAATCTGGCCAATGGGAGCAAAGAGGAAGCCTCCAGGAAGTGTGTCCCTGGAAGGAAGGTCCCTCAGCTGCGGGAAGGAAAACAGCAGCACATGGAGCCATTTTTGCTTCCTCTTGTTCCCCGCACACTGGATCTGGCAGGGAAGCTCAGGGCTTTCTCCTTCCATCTCCCCATAGGAAGCCGGCGCTGGCACGCCAACCTTGTAGGGAGACATGAGGCTGAAGCACCAGAGCTGGATACCTGCTGCTGTGGAATCTGGGGGCGGGGGAGGACTGAGCTGGAGCTCCAAAAAAACCATATATGGCTCCCTAGTAAGCCATATTTGGCTTGCAAGCCATAGGTTGCTGACCCTTGTTCTAATCTACAACAATCAACTTTCTTCTGTACGTGTTCTGCCCTCCTTTACACTTATGCCATACCATTGTCTTTGTGACGGATTGGTTCACAGAGGTTCCCTTGGGACAGTCACCCAATGTGCTGATTAGACCATTGAGCCCAGTCTACCTGCCCTGGTGGGGAATCCCATCACCCTATCTTGCTGCATCAGAAGCTCTGGTCTCCCCCTGCCAAGGCACAGAGTTGAGGTAATCATCATCATTGAACAGAGCAAGATCCCTGTCAGGACACCACAGTGATGACTTCTGACCCACAACAGTTTTCTCTTTAATCATCACTTATCAACAGTGTTAAAGACAGATTGGCTTTCCAGTTTAGCATGCTGTCA